TAGCTTTTGAGGATCTTTTGGTCTACTTCACTTTGTCAGGCAGGTCCTATTTAAGAGATTTCTTGATTGCGAACAGGTGTGGCAGTAATCAGGCCTGGGTGTGGCTAGAGAAATTGAACTCAGGTGTGATAAACCACAGTTTTAACAGGGGGCAAACACTTCTTCACACAGGGCCATGTAGTTTTGGATTTTGTTTTCCCTTAATAATAAAAACCTTCATTTAAAAACTGCATGTTGTGTTTACTTGTGTTATCTTTGACTAATATTTAAATTTGTTTGATGATCTGAAACATTAAAGTGTGACAAACATGCAAAAAAATAAGAAATCAGGAAGGGGGCCAACACTTTTTCACACCACTGTATAATAGGACTTTTACAGCCATAATGATTTGCTGTGATTCATATGCTGTGTTTATATCTAAACAAGCGTGAAGAAGTGTCTGTGAGTAGTTGGTGAGAGAGCTCACACACACACACACACACACACACACACACCGCTCTCATGCAGAGCTTGATGCATTGCTGTCCTAAATACTGGCAGCGTAGCTCCGGTTCGCACTAAATAATGAACACGTGTCTGATCACATTAGCATCCACACAAGACCACAAACAGCAAGAGAAACAAGGCTGTAGCTTCTTTTGTGTGTGTGTGTGTGTGTAAGCTTGCATTTGCACTTTATACTGCATATAGACTGGGGTTAGTTGTCACTTTTGTACTACAATGAATATACATGTCCTCCAAAAGTTATCATTACAGGAATCTGCTATTTATCACTGATAGCAAAACAATTGTGAAATGCAATACTAAAATAATATAAAACGATGAATTATTTCTTCTTTTTTTATGTCAGCGAGATAATTTTTTCTCCAAAGAAATTAACACTTTTCTTCAACAATGATGCATTAAAATAATTAAAAGTGACAGTATAAACATCTAGAATGATTTCGGTTTCAAATAAATTCGTTTTTTTAACTTTCTATTTATTAAAGAATCCTCAAAAAAAATTATCAGGGTTTGCATAAAAAATATTAAGCAGCACAACTGTTTTCAACATTGATTGAATAATAAGAAATGTTAATTTATTAAATCCATCCAAAACACAAGACAACTTGCCCCAACCTGACATAAACCCTTGTCCCAAGAACACAGTTTTTAACTTTATGATTAAAATCTACCTTAATTTTTATTGTTGACAGAAGTTGTGTAAAATCAGCTAGTCAGAGCTTACCAGAACTTTTCCAAGTTTGTGAGCAGAATAAATCATATGGTCGGCAGACTGTGGTTGTGCCGTCTGTGGCTAAGACTATTGAGATATTGTGACAACTAGCCCCAGTCTCCCTATATGTAATATTGCTCTATGCATATGTGTGTGTTTTACTTTCTAACAGCAAGACCCAGCAGAGGTAGAAACTGTGCAGGATATTTTAGCACGAGCTGCAGCTAAAGGTTTGTTGGGCGGACTGCGCCCTCCTGACCCCGTGAATGGAGAGAAACCGAAAAAGAGAAAAAAACAAAAAGGATCCAAACCAATTCTTCCGCCTTCCTCCCTGATTGAGCCTCCTGCATCGGTGATGATCAGTCAGAGTCCTCCAGCTGACGGTGTGCTCATCTATACCATCATCCAGACAGCAGACGATTCCAATCACACTTCCAGAGTCCTGAATGACAGTTCCACAATCCTAGATCATGCTTCAAGTCAAACATCTGCAGTTATGGATGCCACATCTAGCACTACAAATCACTCCAGTGTTCTAGACCACTCATCCGACAATAAAAATCAGCCTTCTGTTGTGCAAAAGAAGCGACCAAAAGGTCATAAGCCTCGAGCTAAAGTTGCTAAGCAGTCCAAGAGAAAAAAGTCTAAGTCCCGCACTCGTAAAGAACGTCAGAGCAAGTCTCGAACTCCACGCAAGAAACTCCTGCACCTTCGGCCATCTCAACACACAACCCTTACCTCCATTAAACCAACTCCACCTCAGAGCAAACCCGCTGCCATCAGAACCCCAGTGTCACCGCACAGATTCAGACATTTGCACAGCAGAGTTGCGTCTCAACGAGAGTCCGTTAAACCAAAAAAGGAAATGATCAAATCAGAAGCCTTCAAGCTAGACAGGGAGGAAAACCGGTCAAGAGAGTTCAGTCTTCCTCCTGTTTATCCGCTCAGTCCTTCACATCTCTCTTCGTCCCCCTATCGATTGTACTCCTCCATGTCTTCTCGAAAAACAAAATGCCTTTGTATTTGGATGGATAAGACGAATCAGTCCCCCCCCCCCCCCCCCCCCCCAAAAAAAAGGAGGGAATCCAAAAGAAAACAGTAAGTTGTACAAGACCCAACATTACAGAGTGACATTCACAAGAAAAACTAAAACCAATATGCACTTTTGGATATTGGGGAAAGCGAAGGGGTGCAGTACAGAGGCAGATTGATTTGTGTCAGGTCATTTTAGCACTGATTATCTGCAGGGTGAATGCGGAGGCCTCGTGCCATCAAGATACAGGAGTAATGGTTATAGTAGCGCTAGTTAAACATCTACATACTACCCAAACAAATGCACTCTAATTTTGGTCTGATTATGATAATCTTGTTTAAACTGACATTTTGGAACATACACTAAATGACCAAATGGATGTGTAATACAATACAAATCATTAATAGGACATTAGTCCTTCTTTTTGCTGATACACCAGCTTCAACTGTGTCCTAATTTGCTAAAAATGTGTTTCACTGTACAGCTTTTTAATGGTTTGCTATTGTAAATGTGTTATGCGTTATAGATGGACGTCTTTGATTTTTATTGATTTTAAAATAAATCGAAAATGTTTAAAAACGTGTCTCGAGACCCTACATTGGGCGCCACATTTTTAAACTGCACCGAGTTAAAATTTTTAAAGTTAAACCTTTTTAAAAAACATGTCTTTTGAAATCCTATGTTGGGTGCCATGTTTTTAAAACAAATCTTGTTAAAACTTTTAAAAATGTGTTTTGAGTCCCTGCATTGGGCACCAATTTCCTGCACTGCATCTCAAGTTCTCAGACACATTTTGAGTGAAGGGTCTAACATGAGATTGATTTTATGCACCGGTTGCAACCGAAATGTCAAAATAGCCACTTGTTAGGTTTAACATGCTTTTGTCCATATAGTGTATTCTAAAGCAGACTGAAGCTATACCTACGTCTAATGTTGGTTTGGGCACAAAGCCTTTTAAATGTTATGTTATCATGGCAGTCAGCGTCTGAGATGAACAGCTCTCCAGAGTAACTGTACAGTGATTTGATTTGAATTGACTTGGTTTGATTTGTTGTATAAGGGTAAAGAATGTCTAAGCTTCTGATACATCACAATGCAACCAGTATTTACCGATATAAAATAGAATAAATAAAATAAAACATCTCATTTCTGTTCAGTACAGTGTCTTCTTAAATTGTCCCAGGACATGCAAGGCAATGTCTTTTTTTCCTCTCAAATCTTCCTCAGAGCTAAAAGAATGCATAGATAGACACTTACAGTTCACATCTCCTCCTCTAGAGCTAGCTCTCCTAAAAAGGACCATAAAATAAATTCATATTCACAATCTCTACCATCTTTCACTCTTCTTCTTTTCTTTTCTTTGTTTTGTCAGTTGGTTTATCTACAACACATACATGATTTTTTTTTTTTTTACAGTATGGCCAGAATAAACGGGACCACAAGACATGCCAAGGCAAGTATGACCAAAACTAACAAAACATGACAAAATAAAAGTATCTGAAATTCAAAAAATAAAGCCTTATGATATGATGTTTGCTGTATATAGATACTATATGTACACGGGGGGGGGGGGGGGGGGGGGGGGGGGGGGGGGGACGTTTATGAAGCACAACCAGGACATGTAGAGCCACTAATGCCATCCAAACGTCAGGAATGAATGCTGGAACTGAAATATCTCTGGAGTTTTTTCACTAACTTGGATCTGCTGCAGATAGCTCCTGTTAGTCAGGTATTTTTTGACTTTCAGTCACTGGAGAGCCTCTCAAGGAAGTAAGCACTACGCTGGGGTTCAAAGCAGAATTGACACGACTGAACTGTTTGACTCTAGGCATAAAGTTGCTGCCTCCTGTACGTTGCTCCATGAGTAATTCAGTTCTCTTACACAACATTCTCTCCTTCAAAGAAAAAAAGGGCAATTTCACTTTGGAAATATAAAAAGCACATTCATACTTTACATCTACACACTAAACTGAACAGGTAATGTCCTTCCACCTGTGTTAATGCACAGCAAGTCTATGGAAAGTCTGAATCATCAATGTTGTTTGTTTAATATTGGCATCTTTTCCAAGCCTCCTCATCAACTTCTAGTGAAGATGAACATGTCAGCAGAGCTTCTTGAAGAAAACATTTTTGATGTATTTCAACGTTAATGTTTCACTCAGCTGAAAGAGTTGCGATTTCCATCTTCCTACTTGGAAAAGTGCAAAGGAACTTTACTTGAATTCGAACTTCCAAATTGCACATTGTGAGGTGCCATTTTTTCCCCCACAATTTGATTGCTAGAAGACTTCATTGTCGACACTGAACAAATGCAATGCTAATGTAATGTAGTGTTGTTGTTTTGTTGCCAGAAGGTGCGGTCACATTTACCAATGTGTCAGTAGGAATCCATGTGATCGGTAATTTCACTTGAGGGCGAACGATTTCCCCATGCAGACTTCTCATCAGGTTCAAGTTTTTTACTGCGCTGACCAATACAAACATACACTTTAAAATAAAGGTGCTTCAAAAGGTTCTTCAAGAGATGCCATAGAAGAACCATTTTTGGTTCCACAAAGAACCATTCAGTCAAAGGTTCTTTAAAGAACCATCTCTTTCTTACCTTTTTGTAATCTGAAGAACCTTCTTTCGCCACAAAGAACCTTTTGTCAAACAGAAAGGTTCAGATGTTAGAGGTTCTTTATGGAACCATTTAGACAAAAAGGTTCTTCTATGGCATCGTGAAGCACCTTTATTTTTAAGAGTGTACTTGGTTTGAAAGCAACTTTTACGCGAGTTGTGCTTCATACATCGCTGCACTACTGACAATTAACAATGGTCCAAATTTTCGCCAAAACATCGCTAATGTTACCGCACCTTTTGAGCACTGAACATTGGAGCACCTTGGTCAGAAGATATCAAGTAAGAACATCCGTCATCCAACTTTGAATGGAACACAGTGCACAGTTCCTCTCATCCACCCATTCTTGTTTTGTGTTCATCAGGATAATAAAGAATGCAACAAAAAATAGCTTTTATGACACTTGTGAACATCCGTTAGCAAATGAAGCAGCATCAAGCTCCTCTACACACCCGCACACACATACGGTCATGCGACACCGATGAACTGTGACAATATGAAAAAGCTCGGTTGAGTGAAGCAGTCGTATTGGTTCTTTTTGAATTACACAAGCTTTCTTCAAATGATCTCTTTGAGCAGGCTTTGTCCAGATAGGGTGGTGCTTATAGATGGGCCAAGCCTGTTGGTTACAGTCATGCTGGAGACGCGTGGCTTCCCATGCAGATATACGCATGACTGACATATGGGAGACGGAAGAGAGAGGCTTGTAGATATTGGATTAGGTGTGTGTTTGTGAGTGTGTGAGTAAAGGGTGTATTTTCTTGGCATCAGCTCATTTGATAATTACTTGTTTCATATTTTTAGACCGTTTTCGTCCTCGAGTTTTTCTTTGACTGGACAGATATGTACAGGACATTCTGATAGCTATTAGCATGCAGAGCGTGACGGTGCGAATGTGTGCTTGTGTGTCAGATCACTGGGGGAGCTCAGTGACTGGTCTCTTCTGTTTGAGCGTGTCGATGAGGGAAAGAACTCCACGTTTGACGCTGGTGGAGACGCGGCGAGTGACTGAATCTGCAGGGGGTGCTTGTGAGCAGGCTTTCTGAGATGGAGGGCGTGCCACCAGACACTTATGATACCTCAACTGCAGAGACAAAGTAACGAAGAAAACAAGAAGCAACAGTGAGTGGATGAATTCATGTGTTGAATTTAATGTAACAGGCTTGGTTGGATAAGATTTGATTATGAAATATGACATTAAACTTTATGAAATAAGAAAACTTTCAATAATATGGGTTAGGCTTAGGTTGGGTTGTTGTTTGAACATCACACCTTGACTAAGGGTGGATGATAAATCAGACATTTACAATGGTTAAGCAACATTGTGACTATTACAAGGATTTTAATGTTCAAATATTTTTTTTTTTTGGCCATCAGGTTTTATTCACAGAAATGTCAGTGTGTCATTTTTAAATATATTTTTATTTTACTACATTTTATTAGGGTAGCTGTTTATGGCTATGTACAGTTATTAATATATATAATATATAGGGCAGTTAATAAACAGTAAAAAATGTGTATGTTTTTGAAAGAAGTCTCTTATGCTCACCAAGTCTGCATTTATTTGATCAAAAATGCAGTAATAATGTGAAATATTACTACAATTTTAAATAACTGTTTTCTATTTTAATATATTTTAAAATGTCATTTATTCCTGTGATGGCAAAGCTGAATTTTCAGCATCATTCAGCATCATATGATCCTTCAGAAATCATTCTAATATGCTGATTTGGTGTTCAAGAAACATTTCTTACAATTATCAGTGTTGAAAACAGTTTCAACTTAATATTTTTGCTTAATATTTTTGTGGAAACGCTGATACATTTTTCATTTATCTGAAATAAGAAATCTGATGTAACATTATAAATGTCTTTATGGTCACTTTTGATCAATTTAATGCATCATACCTGAAAAAAAATTCTTACTGACCACAAACTATTCAGTAGGCTGACATTTAATTATTTTTGCAGCTAGATTGCCTAGCTCTGGTCTTGACATAGATTTTTTTATTTATTATTAAGCTATAGTGCCCAATCCCCATTTATATTTGATGTGGTGTTGAACCGTTATAACTCACCATGCATGCGGCCTGAACAGCCTCCGACACACTGCCAGCATTGGGATCACACCAAAACACATGACACTCAAAGTGCTGGTTCCCAGAGTCCATGATGAATGCGAATGAATGCACATTTTTCCCAACTCCCATAAATGACAGGAAACGCACACGACACTCCACTAGGACCTCCTCTTCCTCCTAATATAGGTTATGACACCAAGAATAATACACGAGTAAACTTTTTTGAACAACTGTGTTAACACAAAAAGTTGTACTTTAGTGAACACACAGCTATAAAGATGTTATGGGGTTTAACAAGTGAAAGGATGTGTAATTGCCTTTTCTTTGATGACTGTGACTGTCGCATCGGCTACATTCAACATCACAGGGACCCAGTCATCTCGAATTGATGATGTTATCAAACTGTCTATTGCACCATTGAGAATGTCCATGCCTAGAAAACAAGAACATCTGACCTTGTAATTGCATGCACAGTCCCAGGAAAAGGTATGTGAACCCTTTGGCTTTCAACATAAAATAGCCATAAGATTCGAACTGATCTACAACTAAGTCACAACAATGTTCACAGAAATAAACAATGATGCTTTCAGTAACACACTATGTAGGGTGGAAATGATTTCTCCAAAAACTAACTGGAGTCAGGAGTCATCTAAGCTGGAGTACAATCAATGAGACAAGGTCAGAGTCACCCTGCCCTATAAAACAACAATCACAAAGTTTGCTGTTCACAAGACGCTTTTGTCTGATGTAAACCATCCAATAAAAGACATCTCAGAACACCTAAGATGAAGAATGGTTGTCTTGCATAAAGCTGGAAAGGGTTACAAAAGCATGACCTGAAGAGAGGATGCACACCAGACATCTCAAAAATATCACTGAACTGAAAATGTATTGTAAGGAGGAATAGTTCCAAACGTCTGACAGTCATACGTGGCTGATTTGGAGGAAGGTCAACAAAGCTATTGAATAAGGATTTACATTCGTTTCCACCCTGCACTGTGAATGTTTACACTGTATTTTAATAAACACATGAAAAAAAAACATTGTTTGTTCAAGCAGATTGTGTTTGTCTTTTGTTAAAGATCAGATCCAATTTTATGACCAATTTATTCCGAAATCCAGTAAAAAGTGGAAAATGTAGGGAAGATAATATGTGTTAAATGTGAACAAAAGTAGAAAAGCAGCAAGTGTAGGTGAGGGGAAAAAAAGAGCATTAAAAAAATTGAAGACTATGAGTGATTGCTCACCTATAGGTCTGGCAACCGGCATCATGCCAACGTACAACACCTGGAATTTCTGCACCAGTTCAGTCTTTGGTGTGGGGAACTCTGCTAAGGGTAATACACAACATACGCATTAACACACACACACAAACCTATTATTCAACAGAGAAGAAACACACATAAGCATACTGTGTTACCTTGTAGCGGGACGTCGAGCCCAGCATGTGTTCTGTCCTGTAGGGATCCTCCAGCCATAGCTTTGGCATTCTTGCGCTCTGTCATGATCTATTACACAGAAATCGAACTCATTGAACTCGCTGCCCTAAATCAGCAGTCTAAACAGAATGTGAACCCTATTTCTTCCTTCTCAGCTGTGCTCTATCCTTGCGCACAGACTTGAGACTGCCAGTGGTTTTCACTGCAATCTAATATAATTTTTGTGTTACACTGTTTTGAATGGGTCATTGAGGATCATTTTGTGTTGGGTGTTGTTTGTGTAGCATTTAGTTCTCACCCTGGAGCAGATTTCGTGCAGACTTGTTGCGATGGCTTTGGCAGGGGTGTCACAGCGGAACACATGACATTTTAATATCCGGGTGTCCTTATCTCGCGCTACATATGCAAAATCCCTGTTTGCACACAATTAAAATCAAACAAGATTAAATCATATGTAAACAGCTGTTTAAAGTCAACATGAAACACATTTTACAACCCATTTCACTCATAATCTGTCATATTTCCAAAAAGGATACCGTACTAGAAAAATGCCGGACGTCACTTTATTTTGTCCATAGGAAATGATTGGACCCCAAAAATGTACATACCAGAATGGATCCAGGTCGAGATATTACATTTTTATTTTAAAAAAATGAAAGAAAGATATAATCTGTCATATTTCCAAAAAGGATACCGTACTAGAAAAATGCCGGACGTCACTTTATTTTGTCCATAGGGAAATGATTGGACCCCAAAAATGTACATACCAGAATGGATCCAGGTCGAGATATTACATTTTTATTTTAAAAAAATGAAAGAAAGATTTTTTTTATTATTTGGAAAAAATTTGACAATAAGACCAGGAATGTGCAATAATAAAAGGTAGCAAGTATTTGAATTGCTTTAACAAAAAACAACAACAACCATATTACATCAATAAACAGTGCAGATGAACAGACACTTGATTATAAACAAAAAGAGCTGTGAATGTGATTTTGTGTATATTTGTGTGTTTGTGCATGTGCCCTCAAACACCCTGATGGATGATGTGCCCTTTAGTTTTAACAGAGACAATCAATTTACAACAGTTACTTAAAGAAACACACCCACATTTCAAGCAAACAAAAAATGCTGTAAAATATAACCATGGATAAAATGCACACACCTCACCTACTATATGCAGGTGCACGTGGCTGTCTGATGAATGAGTGTCTCTAAACTTACACCTCCAGCTGTATTACACACATTCTTTAACATTTCCGCTAAAAATAAGCTATTATGAACACAATGACCTGCAAGAGACTACAACCAGGCAATGATGAGAATACAAGTAACAAAAGGGTATATCAATTTACCTCTCTCTGAGTCCCGGAAAGCAGTCAATTAAAAGATTAAAAAACATGATGAGAAAATACACACAATAAAGCCCATTAATGAAACACAAGGAAAACTAATTTCTGCATAAATCATTCGCAAAACCTTTTTAAGAACATAAAACTGTTACACAATTCAATGCAACAACGTGTGTATTATGAAGGAGTGACACAGAAACATTGCATATTTGCATTTCATAAATGGGTTCCAATGTGTACAGATATTTCAGAACATGTGCATTACAAATAGAGCATAAAAATGGCTATGGCAGGATGCGTATCCTAACTGCTGGAACTTGCTGTGAAAATTCTCATTTCAAGAAAAGATTAATTTTTAGAAGCATTGTATTTTCCAAACCCCAATATTAGGTATGAAGAGAAAATAAGAGGGAAGAGATAGAAAACGAGGACCAGCTGGTGTGACGAGAATTCAGACATTTATCACAATGTATGTGACACCTCAAAACATGAGGCTCTCGGTGTGCAGCCAGTAAAAAACATGAATATGTAACAGTGTTATAATTAGAGATTTAACAGACTGAGAGGGAAAGAGAATAAACCAGGTGAACTCAGTGCACTCAATAATGTCCAGAATGAACCCCAGGCTGGTAAACCTGTTCAAAATGGGCAGTTTTACAGTACATCAGCAGGATTCCACTGAAAAATGTGCTGGAGGGTCAAGGAGAAACTACAAGGAGGTACAGGGAACAATGCAAATGGACCGAGAACAGAACCCTGAGGTTCCCCTAAGGAATTTGAAAAAAATGCATGTGTTCTAGTTTGCATAGATGTGTGGGATGGTATCAGAGGGAAGGCCTGATCTGAGGGTACACGCAAGGAAGTTGCAGTCTCTTTCAAATGTAACCCATTTAGTGACGTGAACATCTTGCCGTGACCTACTTTAATAACTGAACACGCAGTACTCCACAATACTATCCTCACCACAGTAAATAACAACACATACAGTTCATCCATAATTCTCTAATACTGAAATCTCCTCCTCCTCATTCACACCATCTGGAGAAATTCCACCCACTCCACCTTCTAACAGTTCTACTAATTCATCCTTTCTCACTCCAGTAAATACTTCAACTGAAAACTACTTAACAACAAATGCCATACTGTAGAAAAAAATTGGCTTACATTTATTCATGGCTACTGTAAAGTTAGGTGACCTACAGAGTAAATAATAAAAAATGCTGGACATAAAAAGAGAAAAATACTCACATCTATTAAGTAATGTGTTTTTCCTGCTATAGCATTATGCCAAACCCCTCTTCTACAGATTTTCACCTCCTCGTCTCATCCTCTGCTCTGTTAAAAACGTGCAGCTCACCTCTCTACGCTCAATCTCTTTTTTTTTACCCCCTTCTCATTTTCGCTCTCTCTCCTTCCATCCAATCCCAGCGTTCCTTCTACCCTCCCCCTCCCGTTTCGCTTGTCGCTACGGTAACCTCCTCCAGGGTCTTGGGAGGAAAATGTTACTGATGGGCTTAGTGGAGTATTAGCATAGGAGGACACAATGATCACATGTGAACACATACTTACACATGCAGACTACACAATAAATTCAAAAAAGCCCAGCCTAAAGTATCCTTCCTGCTGAGAGAACATATGAACAGTGTCCTCTGCTGGTCAGAGTGTGGTACTGATTACACTCAGTGAGGCAAAACTGTGATTCAGCATCCCTGATGAAGTATGCTGCATTCCACCCCTGCATCATTCACACACACTCACACACATACCAGTCAGCTCTTCAGGGACTAAAGCAGGAAAAGTAAAGCTCTTCAGTGTGTGAGAGATTCATATGAAACATTTGGACCTCAGAAACACTCTAAATATACACATACGGGCAGCCCCTATAACACTAGATTAAACTTTCATTAGCACTTGTCTCTCAATCAGCAATCTTTTATTACTGTCCTGCTTTCACTGGGGTGACTTCTTCAATCCAGAATCATTATATAGTGGTCTTTAGCGCGAAGAATCTGGAGGAGTGCCTCGATATCAGAATGCATTAACACAGACACATTAAGTGAATTTCTTGCAGAGTGTTACAGATAATAAGTGCATGAGGAAAGTCACAGGTGCACAGGTGCACAGATGCTGACGTTTGCAGATCTAAAATCTCTAATTAAAATGAAATGTGAAGTAATCACAGAACACATGCTAATTGCAATATGCTACACTGAATAGTCACAATATATGTGTCATGATTATGCTAATGATATAAAATTAGGAAATATTCTGTGAATGAGGCAAACTGTCAGTTTCAACCATTTTCTTTTACCGTCATCACTCAAAAATGTTCATAAAAGTCTTTGCTTGCCATTTTTTGCATATAATATTTTAACAAAAAATATTTAGTAAATATATATGAAATACTGCTATTAAATACTGATATTTATAACAATCCATGTTCAATTGGTGCATACACATGGAGGTTGTTACATATCATTAATCCTTCCTAATGATTATTTAATGGAGAAACAGTGAGGAAAACTATGTGCATTTAACTTTTTGCTTTTAACATTTTGAAAATACTTGGCAACACTGGCTGAAAAAAAGTACACTTTTCTAAGTCCTTTAAAATGATAAATACTGTGATATATCAAATATTGTAAAAAGGCTGAAAATACTGATATATAATTGCTTATTATTTGATATAGCATTTCCCTGTAGCAAAAAAAAGGATTGTAATGTTTAAATGTAAATCCATTCGATATCTTTTGTAGGTCAGTTCAGTTTCTGAAATGCTCTTTATCTGATTTAACTAGGCAGAAACTGCTTATTCAAAAATATTGCAAAGCTTTGAGCTAATATTCAGTGGGTCACAGAGATTAAACATTATTAGTGTTGGTAGAAGACCAGTCAGCCGAATAGGATCAGCAAAGTAGAAAATTAGCTCCTCGTAAATAAGACCCTGATGATGCTTGTGGGAGCTGAGAGCAGTAAAGTCTTAACTGATATAAAATCCTTTTTTGCCCCATCTGTGCGGTTTCTAAGAGAATTTTAGAAACACCTCCCACATCTTCATAAATAAAGAGTGAGCTATTAATCATTCAGTTTTATTCAGTTTATCTCTGTCATTTATAAAACATTTCATAAACCCTTCATCATTTAACATGTTCTCCTTAACCAACCTATAAAAATACACACTGCAATGGCAACCAGTGCTTACCTTCCATTATCGCGACCAACGCCCCACACACGGATGCTTGCGATTGGCTGAGAGTGTAGAACGCTACGATCCATTGGGTCAACCAGATTCAGCATGTTATTCTCCAGAATGAGGTACATATCCTTCCCCTGGACACACAAGTACAATGTCGGAGGACAAGATAAGGGTTTAGTTTTAAAACCTAGTGAGCTTTCTTGCTGTCCAATGCATACATAGGCAGCTGCCTTCTAAGGCATTATATAAATAACGTTGATTAATAATGAACTTTGCTTTTTGGTATCCAATAGGGGTGTAATGGTACACATATTTGTATCGAAAATTTAGGTACGGGTCTTTCGGTTCGGCACGCATGTTTACCGAACAAATACAGTGTTGGTTTGAACACTGCATGAGCGTAACTTAATTGTAAACTTCCGGATTTAAATATTGTTACTTTTGATAAGAAACAAAGTCTCATCTTTCAAATTATGTCAATTTTTTTTTAGGAAATTCAAACAACAAGCGCGGTTTTGACACTCTTTGATGTGGCGCGACAGATCGCTGTATAAAAGCCTCAGTTCAAACGTCTGGTCGGAGTGCGATCATCTCTTGAGTCTTTACTGTTAGTATTAATGTGAAATAAACATGAACGAACATCTCATGCCTCGTGTAATGGCTCAGTAAGTGTTTCAACAGTGGAAAGACATCAATAAAATCTGTTGTTAATTGTAACCTTATAGTAATGTAAAAGTGTTCCCTATAGTTTAGAGCAGAAGCTGAGGTAGATTTTTATCCCTAAGAAAATTTTAATTACAATTGAATTTAAAATAATTTATTTAAAATAAAGAGCAATTAGTTTGTTCAATAAACCATTGTTTAATTAACAAAGAAAACAATTTTATGTTTATCCGCTGTACCGAAACCATACCGAACCGTGACATCAAAACCGAGGTACATACCGAACCGCCATGATTGCGTACCATTAAACCCCTAGTATCGAATGGTATACAAGTATACTGTAATCCATGTGATTTCATACAAACAGCACAATTCAAACAGAGCACACAAAAGCTTCATCAAGTTAATTTAAAAAGTGATTCCCTAAATACACAATAATGGGTAAAACAGACATTTTTTACTGTTTTATTTTTTATTTATGCTTTTTTGGTTTTAAACTAAATGTATTTCATAATCCATGTAATTTCAAACAAAACGCACTATAGTTTGACTACTGGTTCGAGGCGGGTAGCATGTTGCTAGTTTTTCAAAAATACAAAGGACACAAAAATTTGGGGTAAAATTGCCAACTTGTTTGTCAAAATTGTCAACTTAATTGTTAAATTATAGATGATTTTCAGTATTAAAATATAATTATAACTAATATTTCTCTTCACATTTTCACAGAATTTTTCCATAAAGGATAAATGCAATGCTACCTTAGAATTTGATCAAAATAAAGGTATCTAAGAAGCCTTCTGAAACCAGTCGGAAGTGCACCTATGATGCCCTAAAATACTGCCTACACAGGCAACTCACCAGGTTTTGGAATCAATGTCACAGGCTACTATAAGGTCTAAGGATGCTTGTGCTTGTATGTGTGTTGAAAGTAATGAATAAATGATCAGACCAGAAAATAAAAGGCAGGAGGAGAAAAGAGGCTTTCTCCCTGTGCCCTGTCACAACACATTAAACTCTCGTTCTTCATCTTCCTCTTCTATTCACTTGCTTTTTTCTGCATGACATTTTCAGCTCTCCCTCTTCTTGTTTTATCCTTTCTGCTCTTTTATGTTTCTACCTTCCCTCTTTTCAAGATGATACAAGACATGTTTAGAAACATCGTGTATATTTTTGAATGAATATGCATATGTGCCTTGCTGAAAAGATGAATTTAGACTAGTTTAGTGCTGGTCTCGCTGGTTGACCAGCAGAACAACGTAAAACTTGTCAATCAGCATGGGTTCTTGTAAATCTTGTTAGTTTGAGTGTGCATTTGTGTGTGTGTGTGTGTGTGTGTATGTGAGAGAGAGAGAAAGCCATATCTCACCTCTCCCCAGATGCCCACAGTGTCTCGTATGTCATTCTTGCAGTAAGACAGTTGACGAATGCAGTTGTTAACAGCGACGCTGCTTTTACCCGGAGCCAAGTCCTCTTCAGCCATCTCTACCCAGCCAAGAGAGCGCACAGCAAAACACTGTAATAAAATATCACAATCCCACTGATTAAGCACAAACACTGTGACAAATAACTACAGGGCAACTGCTACACACTTTATGCAAATGAAGAGCACAGCAAATATACGACTCAAGACATAACAATAACAGTTTTCACAAGAACAAGCCCAGTAATATAGTATCGTGTTTATCTATTACCTATATTCTATTATGCCTCATATCCAAAATCCTCCTTCTCATCTATAGTGATAGGTACTAAACTGAGGAAACACCTCTTGAAATTTTCACATGGCATCTTCTAAGAATAGCTGCTGCTAAAATGAGTGAGAAAGAGAAAGAGCGCATTCATACACATACTGTACATGATTATTTACACACACACACACACACACACAGCCTCTTAGAGCAGGGTGCTGAGATCAAAAGAGAAGACCCCTTTTACTGGAAGAACTTTTCTTTCATCTTCCACTCGTTTCCCTCCTCCTTTCTCATCTGTATCTCATTCCAAGCACTCCGAGAGCAAAGTCATCCATCATTCAGTCTCTCTTCTTTTCTGACAATCTGTGATGAGGCACCTCCATTATGTCAGTGTTTGTGTGTGAGAGAGATTAATAATAGGCAGAATGTTGTCATGCTCTTTCAGTTTGATTTTAACTGCTGCTGAAAGAACAGATCCTCAAGAGGAAGAGTGTGAAACAAGCAAAGAGGGGTTAGAGAAAGAAAGAGAGAGGGGGAGAGAGAGCATGACTTAAGGGGAAGTATATATTAAATAGCAGATGAATTTTGGAATTACTGGAATCGAAAAATCCAGTAACAGTTAAAATCGAGCTATAGGGGTGGCACTAGCCCATTCAGCTGGTCCGCCCAATCAAATGGGACACATAAATTTACATATACATTAAGGATATATTTCCGCTGCATATAAAGTTTCAGAAATAAACAGTTATTTTAGTGTTCAAAATCTAAAATGCCTTTGATTTGATACATCAGGTGATATACATCACAGCCTAACTGCAATGTGATCTACTATAGTTTACTAATGTTTGGTGAAGCTACAAATCAAAATGCGCCCCCAAAGGCCGCACATGTCTAATGTTTACCTGTACCTAATATTGTTTGGTCTCTTGGAACAATTATTTTGCATTCTGCTGGTTAAGACCTTTTCAACGATATATGATACAAGACTATAAAGATAACATTTTCAAGAAAAGTCACATGTTCAATTTAGACATATATTTTCGGTGCATATTTGTAACCCTTTTCTCTTTCCGTCTTTTAGCTGTTGCTAAAATTTGCATCCCTATTTTTATCTCATGTATTGTAAAATGTACTTTAATTTGAGATTATGCACTGAGATCCACCCTACTTCACCAAGGTCCACTCACATTAAAGTCCACCGATACTGTTTAAAAGTTTGTGTCAGTAAGATTTTTTTTAAAGAAATTAATAGTTTTATTCTGAAAGGGCATATTAAATTCAAAAGTGACAGTAAGGCATTTATAATGTTACCTAATTAAGTATATTTCAAAATAAATGCTGTTCTTTTAAACTTAAAAAATATTAAGCAGCATAAATAATTTCAACACTGATTGAATAATAAGAAATGTTCTTGAGCACAAAATCAGCATATTAGACTGATTTCTGAAGGATCATGAGACACTGAAGACTGGAGTGATGACTGTTTAAAATTCAGCTTTGCCATCACAGAAATAAATAACATTTTAAGATGTATTATAATAGAAAAAGCTATTTTAAACTGTAACAATACTTCACAATATTACTATTTTTATTGTAATTTTGATCAAATAAAGACTTCTGTGAGTATATGAGATGCCTTTCAAAAACATCACAAAACTTGTAGACAACAAACTTTTAAATGGTAGTGTATTTGACACATTGTGTAATCAAATATTTGAAGGATTAAATACATATTGCACATCACCTCTGTCATTTGGAGCAACTGTACAACAAAAAGACCATGCAGTATACAGAATTCCAATTGGACTGGAATGTGGTACATTTTTGTTAGTGATGGTTTGCACCAAAAGGCAAATGGACTACTTTTATTGTACCTTTTTTTGACCATTTTATAGCTTAGCAGCCATGGCCAACATCCATTTTCTTTAGAAGGTAAAGAACAATGTTTCACATTTTGTGCTTTGCACAAATGCATGTGACTACGCATTTATAAACACCCTTTGGACGGTAATTGTTTCTCATGAGGATGGCACCTCAGTGATAAAACTTGTGCATTTGGATGGCGGTTTTTTACGTGGATGCCGGTGGGAGAAAACTACAATTCTGGATTCGGACAGCATTAAAATCACAGACTAACTGTAAATGTTGAAAATTCTCTACTTCACCATGAGAAATAATTACCATCCAAACAGGGCTTTAGTCTTTTGACAAAGAGGGTTCTGTTTAGTGTTTATGTTAACATAAGGGTTCCTTATTGATCCATTAAGGATATGTCTCACTCTTAAATAAAAACATCAGAAATATTAACTACAAATTTGCTTTCCATTGTATTCTTTACCCACATCTCCAAGCATGACGTGCATGTGAATTTCTTTGAGCAGCCAGCAGATGGCAATTTATATCTAGAATTACATTGGATGTTGGAAACTCCTGACAGCACTACCAAATTCCACCAATATACAAACAGCAAAAAACAGTGTTTATTAAATAATTTGTGCCAAATCTGCTACATGTTAAAACCATACATTTATCAAGCTTTTTTTCCAGAATAAAAAGCTAACAAATCTAGGGGACAAAATAAATTGTTTTAAAATCATTATTTACCCCTAAACAGGATGCAAAATGTAAATTTTCCCCCACAACTGAATGTAAATGGCATGGCCTATTTTGCATTAGTATTTTATTCATGAGAATGCAAGTATCTATCTGTTTCCAGTGAGGTAAGAGGTGTTGCAGCAGTTGCAACAAACGTATTTAGTAGACGTTTGTATGTCTTACAACAGCATATGTTAAACCACATAATGTTACAGTTCCTAAACAAACACCAGCCAAATGGTGTGCAACTCCATTATGCAGTATAATATATATATATATATATATATATATATATATATATATATATATATATATATTTGCTTCAGAGCTTGACGATTGTTAATTTGGATCCTGCCTTCAAGACTAAAATAAGTTCTCTGCAGAGTTGTTATCTTTGAATAGCTGCAGTATGTGCAGAACAAACTCATGTGCCCTCACCTTGGCTTCAGGGTCACTGTTAATGCAGCTGGAATCTTCCTCTTCCAAGGGAGCAGGGTTTCTAAACACAGCCACACACACAGTCAGAAGAGGTATATACATTTTCATCTCACCTTACTGTTATTTTTTTCTCTCTTTCATTTATTTGTATTTATTTGCTTTCACACCGTAGCTTGAGGGAGGCGTAGCGGAGAGTTGCGCCTTCAAACTCTTTCAGACTGGGGTCAGGGTTTACTGTGGCTGCCTGTAGATCCTGAAGCAGAAAAAAGGCAGAGTTTCTTAAACATGAGCACACAAACATATAGCAAACCCACAAATGTACAGTGCAGAGATCACACCAAACACAACAGGAAAGCACAGTTCACAAAACCCTGCTTTCGATGAGTGATTAAACAAACTGAAATGAAAATGATTAACCAGTTTTAAAACAGACACAGTGTGAACCCTGCGTATTTTACAAAAGGGATGGATTAAGAAAATGAAAAGAAATGAAGAGCGATCAAGAGCTTTCCTGCAATAACCAACATACAGTGCAAAAATCCTTTTCTTAATCAGTATTAAAATATCTAAATGCATAATTGAATAAATAAAGTGTAAGAATTCAATTTTAAGTTTGTTTCTGAATTTAGATTTATGCTTAAATCAAGAAAAAACTATTTGGCAAAAGTGTAAGAAAAATACATTTAGTTAGATAAATGATTTTTGCAGTGCACAGACAGACAAAATAACACAAAAGCCACGCTGAGAAGAAAGGTTAAAGGTCAAAAGGTAAGGAAGGTATGAAGCAGCACAGGATCTCAGAACACAACTACGCCAGTAGAACATCTACAGGTAGAGCACCCTTTCTTAGAATTTTTATTTAAAAAATAATGCAAAATGCATTTGCAAAATATGGTCTCAATATTTACCAGCCAGTGGGCAACATTTTTTATTTTGAACCCTGTGAAGAACATCAAGTTTTGACAGTAGTTTCCTGAGACATTCTACTGTGTATTTGTCTCTGCAGTTCAATAAAAAACTGCCTGAGATACTAACCTTCCAGATCTCACTATCAATCTTTCCCACAGCAAAATCACTCCATGGCTGTTTCTGCACCATTATTCACACACAAACGGGGAGGACAAGGTTGAGGGGTCAAGGGTGGAAGGGTGGAGAAAGACAAGACAGGGTTGTTAGATCACTTGGCAAGCATGTGTGTGTGTGTGTGTACAGTATGTGTACAGTATATGGCTGTTCAGTGTTTGGTTGTGATCTTATTAGATGCAGTATGGATGTTGATATCTGACTCTATGTTGCAAGAATCAAAGGATAGCACAAATTATTTTTCCACTACATTCTGAGAGTAAACAAGTGTTATTGTTACCTTGTCCTCTTCCCGATGGCGTGCCTCAGAGTGTCTATCCTTCCCTAGCATTATCTGTAGGGATGAGGACCGAGGCTACACACACACACACACACACACACATATATAGTTTTAGCTTTATTATGTATGACCAATATCAATACAAATTTCAGAATATATTTACATTTGGCAATACAATATACACAACAGTTCAAACGTCAGTCAAATTTAAAAAAAGAAATTAATACTTTTATTCAGCAGGGATGCTTTAAATTGATTAAAAGTGACAGTAAAGACATTTAAATTAAATACTGTTCTGTTCATCAAAGAATCTAAAGAAATATTAAATATATGTAACAGATATATATTAGTGCTGTCAATCGATTTAAAACAATTAACTAATTAATCGCACTTTTATTTTTTTAATTAATCGCGATTAATCCCACCTAACATTAAGGTTTTTAAATATACTTTTATATTGCAATAATTTCACATTCAGTCTTCAAATGAATGTACAAACAACATAAAGACAGTATATTTTTTATATTTGTTTAATGGCATCTTTTTTTATGACTGAAGAAGGACAGTATCACTGATACCAAAACTACTGCTGTCTCTATAAAATAGATTTTTTTACCAATATTTAACCACTGATTGACTATAGCCATTCAGCATTACAGTATATTTGAGAGCTATCAATTTTAACATTTATTAGACTTGAAAAAATAACTTCAAGAGCTTCAAGAGATTGAAGAGCACGCGCTGCGAGCACAGTACTGTTTGACTCGCGCCTGTCGCTGAAGTGAAGTGGAGCGCGTGTCTGAAACATCTCCAGTTTGATGTAGTCGTGAAGACGTTCTGGAACTGAATAAATGTACTTCTTGCCAAGAAAAAAAAGAGACTCAACTCTGGCTCCGCCCCTGTGTTAATTGCATTAAATCTTTTTAACGCATTAAATTAAAAAATTAATCGCATGCATTAACGTGCTAATTTTGACAGCACTAATATAAATAAATATTAACATGGAAAGCAGTTATTTTAAACGTAATAACACTGTTTTGTATTATAATACTGTTTTTCTGTATTTTTGGTCAAATAAATGCAGCCTTAGTGAGCATGAGACTTCTTTCAGAATTTTTTTTTTTTTTATCTATTGACCTCCAAATGTTTGAATGGTATATTCACAATATTCCAATTAAATTTGCTAGAAATTCACCAACAAAACTGTTTATATTTTACAAGACAGTGACAAAAAAGTATTACTCAACTGATTTCTTTTTTTTGTGGACGCAAACCAAGCACAAAAAAATAAGTCATATTAACCTAGCAAGATTTGATTTTGATTTAAGAAGTCAACTGAAAAGAACAGACAAAACAAAAATCTGGCAAGATGCATGTCTTCTTTTGTTTAGTTATTCAGTAGCACATTGCCATTTTGAAACAAACAAAACCATGTGAGGTTCTGTTAACCTTGCTTCATTTTATGCTGCAGCAAAAAGCATAGACCCAAAGGACCAAAAAGAGATTCAAGCCCACTAATAAGGACAGGAGTAATTTAAATAAAAATGAACCAGACTGTGCATGTTTATTCAGTTTCATTTATCTAATAAGTTCTTTCATACATCTGAAAAAAATAGTTGATCAAATAATAAGGGCTGATAAAATTCACCATTCACCAGCCACTGTGTTTGGTGGGCGAGAACATTAATTTCTCATCCTGGTTGCACGGTAAATACAGTCATAGCAACCTGTAACTATATTAAGCATTTACCCAGCTCCGTTTAATCCATGGCGACTGAAGTACTGTCACATCTGTAATAGCATCTCCCTCAATTTTCTTTTTCTTTTATGAACAGTTTGTGAAGTTTGTGTCTTATCCATTTATTCTCCACAACCAAATTGTACTCACTGTGAAAGCTAAACACCCAGACAATGGAAGGATATGGCCATAAAGTATTGTCCATTCTGTAAAATGGGAGGGAGATTGATGAAAAGACTTACAAAGTAGCAGCTGTTGACAAATCCACAGGAAGGAACATTGCCGTCAGAGGATGAGGAAGAGTTTGAGGACAGGATAGGGGTAGGGTCCAGACATGAAGAAGACGGGATGGGGGCGGGGTCACACGAGCTGTCGGAAGTGGTGCTGCCTGAACGACTCGAAGCTCCGAAAAATATGTCGGCATGAGACATCGACTAAAGGACAGAGAAAATGATTGGTCAGTGTGAATAAATCAACTGTTGATTTGTTTTATGTCCAGTTTACGTAACAACATGGTTTCAAAGGGTTACCTCGTGATCTGGAGTGGGCGAGGGAGACAGGGAGCCCAAGGAGTGTTTGCGGCTGGCATGGCTGGGTCCAGTTGGCACCGGATGGCATGGGGCGGGTCTCTCCCACTGTGTGGTGCCCGTTGGAATGTGCCAGTAATAAATACCAGCCATGTCTGTCATCATCTTCCATCCTGGAGGCAAATCAGGGTCTGTCTGAAATGACTGCTCCCCCCAGATATCTGTAAACACAAATACACATGGTCAGGCGTGGTCCACACACCCGTCAACCAAGATATCCAAGACTCCTACGAGTGGGTGTTATGACCGAAACCTTGTATCATGGCATGAGTAATTTTAAAACATGGTATGTTTCAGCATACAAGAGTTAGTTCTGATATTCTAACCTGAATGCGAACAGTGTTCCAAGAGTGCTGATATATAGTATAACAACATTAGGATATTATACTGTTTGTATTCATTTGCATGTTTGTGTTCTCGGTAGAGAGGTGTTGCAATATACCGGTATTGACGATAACCAAGAGATATTAAAAAAATTAAGTATTAATATCCTGTTAATACTGGACATACAATAATATCGTAAATAGTTCAGTGTCAGTGCCATCTGGTTGACACTCCAACACAGTAAGTGGCTGTATTGCACCTTAAAGGGATAGTTCACCCAAAAATGAAAATTCTATCATTAATTACTATCCCTGTAATGCTGGTTACCACCTATCAGAAGATGGATGAAGTGTGTAGCTATTACTGCTGCACAAAATCATGTTGGTGAAGATGACAGGCAAAATTGACACTCTACCCGTACCCAAAAAATTGTTTTGCTTGCAATTGTGGGAGTTCCATTGGATCCTGGATGTTAGCCACCCCAGTCTTTAGAAAGGGGGCGAACAACAGTAAGTACTTTTTGTATGCTTCTGTACTACACAGTCATAGTTATTTAAACTCACTGCTTCCTTACACACATATTTTAAATGTGATTTATTTGCTGGGAGAAAAAAAACACAAAATAAAGATGAATTGGACTGATAGCTTTTTTCAATAAAAATTTCTATACACAATATAGATAATATCATTATTGTGATTTCTTTTGGCCACAATAATCATGTAGTAAAATCTGATATCGTGACAGCCCTAGTTCACAGCATTCCAGACCAGAGTATGTGAGCACTAGTGACTGAACATGTGGTAATGGGCAATCAAAGTAATTGAATACTTTATAAATAAAGATAAATACATTTTTTTTAAAAAAAAGGGATTATAAACTTTAACGGGTCGGTCAGAGGGTTATAATGGATGTTTCAAGCAGCAACCAAACAATTAAAACTGCTGAAGTCTAGATAAGGAGTCACTATGGGATATGAGTGCCCTGTAATACATTGTTGCTACCATGAATATATATATTTTTTTAATCTGTCTCTCTCACATGAACTTGCTACTGTTCTGTCTGTCCTCACTCAGCAGCTGGGAATGTTTGTTTCATGTTTCAGATGCTAGTAAGAGCATTATTCATACAATGCAATCTGGATGAGGAAAACCACACACATATACACAGTAAACCACTGCAGTCTGTTACTCACACATATGCTGAACAGATTCAAGCCAGGAAACAC